TCTCATGGTTTGTGAGTTCGAGCCCCGCGTGGGGCTCCGTGCTGTGGCTGCGGAGCCTGCTTGAGATTCTCTCTCTCCTTTCTCTGGCCTTCCCCCACTTGTACTTTCTGTCTCTCAAAATAAATATATAAATAAACTTAATTTTTTTTAATGTCTATTTATTTTTGAAGGGGAGAGAGACAGACTGCGAGTGGGAGAGGGGCAGAAAGAAAGGGAGACACAGAATCGGAAGGAGGCTCCAGGCTCTGAGCTGTCAGCACAGAGCCTGACCCGGGGCTCTAACCCACAAACCAGGAGATCATGACCTGAGCCGAAGTGGGACTCTTAACCTACTGAGCCACCCAGGCACTCCTGTAAATAAATAAACTTTAAAAAATATATGAGAGACTGCATGGACTCTACTCTGGAGGAGGCATTTGGAGTAAAAGAGACCCACCTATAGGAGGCTTGAGGGATGTGTGGAAAGGGGCCCTTAACTGGTACTCGGCTTATTTGGATTCTTATCCAGTATTTGTTGGCTTGGACTATTCAGGTTGGGGTTTCTTGCCTGCAGAGTGAGAAAGATGGTTGATCTCAGGCCCTGCCAGTGTGAGGAGGTGGTGGTACCAGAACACTGGGCTTTGCTCTGAACTTGGTTACCTACAGGCCCCATCATATGTACACATATTCTGGCCAAGGGCTTACAAGATTCTTTGTCCCTCAGATTGGTGGCTTGTGAGTTGTTTGGCCATCTCAGCTGTTACCTGGAGTGTGGAAGCATTCTTTAGTAGAGACTGAGGTCCTAATGCATCTGTGAACTGCTGGAGTGCCTTTAGGTCATCTGAATGGACATGACCCTCCTTTTCTCTCTTTGCTATAGTTGTTTCCTTGTTCTCTCCCACCCATAGTAGGTAGGAGACAAAAGTTACTTGGGGACCTAAAGGTTCTAATAGGAAGCTAATGGCCTGGCATTGATTTGGTTAGGATTCCCAGAATAAAGGACTTTCATGGACTCCTCATCCTGGTATAGTGGCTCTCCAGGAACGTTCCACCACCCCACACATTTTCCAGTGTATCACTTTCCCATCCCTCCTGTTTTCAAGGAATGTATGGGTGGATTCCTACTCAGTCAACCTTTGCCAAACACCAATCACATCATAGTTTCTGTGCTGGGACTTACTTGTCTTTTCTTTTTAAAGATTTGTTTAAAATTTTTACATTAGGGTGCTCCTGGGTGGCTTGGTCGGTTAAGTGTCCGACTTCGGCTCAGGTCATGATCTCACCGTTCTTGGGTTTCAGCCCTGTGTTGGGCTCTGTGCCGAGAGCTCAGCCTGGAGACTGCTTCAATTTCTGTTTCCCTCTCTCTCTGCTCCTCCCCCACTCACGTTCTGTCTCTCTCTCTCCCAAAAATAAACAAGGATTAAAAAAATTTTTTTTAAATAAAAAAAAATGTTTACATTAAAATTCACTCATTTGGTGTTTGGGTCTATGAGTTTTGATTAACGTATAGAGTCAACATATCTACCAACCAGTATATAAAACATTCCCCCCAAATTCCCTCTTGCTGTCCCTTTGTGGTCCCCCCATTCCTAACCCCAGTCCCGCTGATCTGTCCTCCAGCCTTTCCATTTTGTTTTTTCTAGAATGTCCTGTAAATGGAATCATAAAGTAGGTAGCCTTTGAGTCTGACTTCTTTAGCACAGTGAGTTTGATGTTCATTCATATATTGTGTCTATTACTGTGTGTGTCAACTATTTGTACCTTCTGCTTATTAGTAGCGTTCCAATATACGGCTGTGCCACTGTTTACTTATCCTTTCGTCCATGTGTGTTTAACAACAGCCCCTTGAGCTATGCCTGCATTAGCGCAGAAGTAAAGACTGGAGATGGTAAATAGCAGAGCTAAATTTTGATATAACTCCCAAGTCCAGGCTTCTTTCCCACCACACCTAAGAGTTGATTAGGTCCAGTGACCCAATTAACGTTTCTTAACTGCCCATCCAAGAGGTTGTCAGGCTTCCTGAGTTCCTGGAGAGTTCCCTTGGTAGAACTGGGGCCTGAGGGTTGATGAAGGAAAGTGTCCACTGCAGTATGTGACTCACCATATATGCTTCTTTCTTTGTGTCTGGTGACAAGCTCACCGGTATTAGAAGGATGGAGCTGCCCAAACCATATAGCACTTAATGATAATCTTTTAAGTCTGTCCCAGGAGTTGGCTGCATTGAGTGGCAGTCTGCTAGGATAGTGACCAGCTGCCTACTGCAGGTGGGAGTGTGACCATCCTGTTCTGTTCCCTGGAACAACCAGGAAGGAACGCTCTAACCCCTCGATCTCCCTCCACAGTGATGTCGGAGCTCAGCGATGAAGCCAGTGAGCCAGAACTCCTGAACTGCAGCTTGTCCATGTGGCATGGGCTAGGTGCTCAGGTCGGCCGGGAGGAGCTGGCCGTCCCCTTGGATCTTCACACAGCTGCTTCCATTGGCCAATATGAAGTGGTGAAGGAATGTGTGCAGCGGTAAGAGACCTTGGGAAATGTTCCTGCTCAGATTTTGAGTACCGTCTCTGTGGCTTCAGATCCCAGGTAGGGCTGTCAGTGAGCTTATGGGGCCTTGCACACAGTCGCAGACATGGAACACACCGAGATATATCCCTGTGTCTGTCGGACAGCTGTCACTAATGATTTAGGCTGGACACGAATAAGTCCGTTTTTATTCCTAAGAAGAAAGCGACAGTTTGGGCTTTTTTCATAAGCTTATGAATCATTTCAGACTTTTGTTAACTACAGTCATTTTATGGTTTTTACTAATTGCAGAAGTGCTCAGACAAAACAAAAATAAAGTTAGAAAGTGATGCCCTGTGGCCTCCTTTCCCCAGGAGATTCATTTTTATCCCTTGTGCCTTCCTGTCACTCTGGCTTCTACCATAGAGGAGGAGGAGGTGGGATTCATCTTCCTCTCTGGGGATCGCCACCTGATTGCCATCTGCAGCCTTACACATGTGTTAATTTAGTTTTTGGAAAAGGACCAATCTCCTTGCCTCCACCCCTTACATCCACCTCATTGTTTCTGTTTCTCATTGACAACTAGTGGAACCATCTATGTCCATATCTACATGTGCCTGTTTCAGTTCCTGGGGAGCCAGAGCAAAGCCTTGTATAAGCCCTGGGTTTCTGGTTCCTAAGTCATAACTGCCACTTATAAATATGTGGCCAGTTAAGTACAAGTATAGCACTGTGGTAAGACATAATGTTTTGTACTCCTGTACCAGGTGGCTTTTGGAATGTTAGTTGGATACACAGGCAGCACATTCCCTCACAGGGTCACTGAGACCCCAGTTACAACTTTGCTCCTTTGGCGTTCTTGGGTTTTTAAGCCTTTGGGTGTACTGTTTAAATGCATAGTCCGGGAAGGCGCCTGGGTGGCTCAGTCGGTTGGACGTCCGACTTCAGCTTAGATCATGATCTCACAGTTTGTGGGTTTGAGCCCCGCATCAGGCTCTGTGCTGACAGCTCGGAGCCTGGAGCCTACTTCGGATTCTGTGTCTCCCTCTCTCTCTGCCCCTCCCCCACTCTCACTCTGCGTCTCTCAAAAATAAATAGAACATTACAAAAAATAAATCCACAGTCTGGAATGGCTCCACAGGGGAGAGGGGAAGTGTTTGTGCTCTGGTTGGGACTGTAGCCCTAGCTGACACCAAGGCTGCTGACAGTAAGCAGACTGGGACCTGAAGCGAGTAGAGGCATCAGAAGGGAGGCTTGGGCCCAACTGGACATGTCAGAGACTCAGAGACACTCTGTGGAGGGCTGGGCTCTTCTCCACATGGAATTGAGCCACCAGCAAAGGTCATCTGGCCAGGATAGACTGGTCTCTGTGAGCTCTCCCAGCCAATGGCTACCATTGCATTCCTGGGATCAGGACCTTCTGGAATGGCTGCATGGGTATCCCGGAGTGAATAGAAGGTGCTAGCAAATGGAACATAATTGTCTGGTGTGGCTTCTTGTGTCCAAACCTCTGAGAGGCACAGACTGTGGGTTGACTGTCAGACTGGACTGCCAGATGCTAGCTTCCAGCTGTGGCAATGAGAGCCTCGCCTACCTCCACTGGAGGCTGGGATTGTGCAAGAGGAAAGCTGTGGGGCATGAACCATGCGGGGTGTTCTGGAAGTAGATGTTATTTCCATGCCCCAGGCCCAAACTCTGGGGTAGGAAGCCCATAATTTTTTTTCCTGGGGGAAACGCTTCTTTAGAATTTTGGTGGAAATCAATGAAAAAGATAGGATCCTCTGGGTACTGATTTTCCAAGAATGTTTTTGTAGGATGAGGTGATGAGAGAGAAATCTTACCCATTGTCTGAGTCCCTTCCCCTTTCCTTTCCACCCAGCACCGGACTAGCAGATCCTGGTCTGTTGGAAGGCAATCAAGGCTCTGGGTCACAGTTTCTTGACCTTGGCACTCCTGACAATCTAAGCCAGATCATTCTCTGTTGGGAGGCTGACTTGTGCATGCAGGATATTTAGCGGCATCCCTGGCCTCCATCCCCTAGATGACAGTAGCTTTTCCGTATGCACTTGTGAACCAGTAATGTGTCCAGACTTTGCCAAATGTCTCCTGGGGGGCAGAATCCCCCGGTTGAGAACCATCTGTGTTGCTGGGGGTAGGAAAGAAGAGAATTGCTGGCCTTGGGATAGGAGGAGGGGCCAATGAGAATGTGCAGTTGGAGGAGGAAGATAGCCCTGTGGACTTTGCAGAGGCAGCTGTACAGCAAACCTAACTGTTCCCCTGTCTTCCTCCCCTCCCCTATGATGTCCAGCGTGGCAGATAACTTCTGCTTCCTGGCTGTACTTCCCCCTCTTTGTCTTGGCCTGGCCTTGCCGCTGGCTTTGGTAAACCTCACACGTGAGATGGCGGGACATGTCTAGCATATCTTGCATTTGTTTAGCAGAGAGTTAGATTTGAATAAGAAGAATGGTGGTGGCTGGACCCCGCTGATGTATGCTTCCTACATTGGACATGATACCATCGTGCACCTGCTGCTTGAGGCAGGGGTGAGTGTGAATGTGCCGACCCCTGAAGGGCAGACTCCACTGATGCTGGCTTCCAGCTGTGGCAACGAGAGCATCGCCTACTTTCTCCTCCAGGTGAGCTACGAGGGGACTCAGGCTAAGAAATGTGCGGGGCTCCCGGCTCTGGCAGAGACGTGAACCACCGCAGACCATGGTGTGCGTGTGCGTGTTCGTGTAATCACTTTGATTCTTGCAGTGTGACGGCCTGGAGGGCGCCCGCCCCACACAGAGGAGCTGAGGCTGTAACGAGCATTCTGTGTTCTCTTGAAGCAAGGTGCCGAGCTGGAAATGAAGGACATTCAAGGCTGGACTGCCCTCTTCCACTGCACCAGCGCTGGGCACCAGCAGATGGTCAAGTTCCTTTTGGACAGTGGAGCGAATGCCAACGTGAGGTGATTACCAGGTCTTTGGTGGTCGCTCTGACTCTGAGGAAGGCAGCTGGGGAGGCTAGAGTGCAGAGTAGCCCCTGCCTTGGGCAGAGGGGACAGTCCTGTCCAGGCATGGGGAGCTTGAGGATAGGCTGAGCTTTTTCCTGCATCTGTCAGGGGACATTGGGTACAGCACTTTAAGTGCTCTGAGTCTCATTTTCTTCCTTCCTTCCTTCCTTCCTTCCTTCCTTCCTTCCTTTCTCTTTTTTTATTAACTTTTTAAAATATTTATTTATTTTTGAGAGACAGAGACAGAGTGTGAGCAGGACAAGGGCAGAGAGAGAGGGGGAGACACATAATCCGAAGCAGGCTCCAGGCTCCCAGCTGTCAACACAGAGTCCCAATACGAACTCTTGAGATCATGACCTGGGCAGTGGACAGCCCAGCACCGACTGAGCCTCTCAGGTGTCCCTCTTTTTTTTTTTTTTTTATTTATTTATATTTGAGAGAGAGCACAAGCAGGTGAGGGGCAGAGAGAGGAGGACAGAGACTCTTAAATGGTCTCTGTGCTAACAGCAGGGAGTCAGATGGGGCTCAAACTTGTGAACCGCGAGATCTTGACCTGAGCCGAAGTCACTTAACTGACTAAGTCACCCAGGTGCCACTGAGCCTGAAAACTGGGGATGGCAGTACCGGTGTCATGGAGTTGTTAGAAAAATTACATGTTCTGTCACACATCAGGGGCCTGGGCCTGGCATTGTGAATGGCACTCCGTTTACATGCATTAAATGCTAACTCCTTTCTCCTTCTTGCCTTTGTCTGTGTTGGGTGAGGTGATGCTTTGAAAGTAGTCATGAGTTTTGTAAGCCGGAAGGGGTGTTGTCGTCCAAAGCATGTCACAGTGATAATCCCCTTTCAGCACAGCAAGTACCAGCCCCGCATCCACCTGACACTGTGCACGCCCCTGGCTGAAGCCGTCTCTTATAAGATACCTGCCACCGTTTCATATGCCACTGAGGAAGAAGTGCCACTGATCAAAATGCCACTTGCCTGTTGATTTTAAGATAAATTCTGGCTTGGGAGATGTTAAAATGCAAAAATGGTGTATCTTACAATGGATGAAACCCAGGATTTAGCTTGGTTCCTGTCTTCTAGACCAGTCTGAAGGGAAGTGAGGGTCAGAGGGCAGCTGTAGGCAGTGCTGAGCAAATTGTAAGCAAACCCCAAAATAAGCATCAGATACTAGGCAAACTAAGGACAAGGTAGATGGTTGGTCCCGGAGCTTTTGGGAGGGTTTCTGGAAGATTTTGAGCTCAAGGCATAGGATCTGGATAGGTGGAAGGGAGACGCTGGCTTTCTGTATGCAGTGAAGGGCAACAGTTGCTTTCGGCTTGTAATTAAAATGGAAATTTAAGAGGTGGCAAGTGGAAGCAGCTTAGGAGTGATTATCGGGAGCACCTGGGTGGCTCATTCAGTTAAGGGTCCTACTCTTGGTGTTGGCTCAGGTCATGATCTCGCGGTCATGAGATTGAGACCCATGTTGGCCTCTGTGCTGACAACGTCGAGCTTGCTTGGGATTCTCTCCCTCCCTGTCTCTCTGCCCTTCTCCTGCTCTCTGTCTCCCTCTTTTTTTTTTTTTTTATTTAATTTTTAAAGTTTATTTATTTACTTTGAGAGCATGAGTGGCAGAGGGGCAGAGAGAGAGGGAGACAGAGAATGCCAAGCAGGATTGAACTCACTAAACCATGAAATCATGACCTGAGCTGAAACTAAGAGTTGGATGCTTAACCGACTGAGCCACCTGAGTGCCCCCTCTTTCTCTATCTCTGTCTCTCTCAAATAAATAAACTTTAAAAAAGGGTAGAACCAGAAGAATTTATGAGGCTGATGTGTTAGTGTGAACTTTTTCACACGTCTCTGTTGGTTCTGGGGAGAGGGAGACCTCTGTGCTTAGGGAAGGGTGACTTTGTACCAGCTTGGTCTTGTCTGCAGCAGGGAAGCTTCTGCGTGGCAAACTTCTCTCCAGTAATTGTCTGACCATGGCCTCTGTCTTGTAGGGAACCAGTATATGGATTTACTCCTTTGATGGAAGCAGCTGCCTCTGGCCATGAAATAATTGTGCAGTATTTTCTCAATCATGTAAGTGACCCTGTTTGTTAGCTTACACTTTAGTCACAGCAGGTGAGGAATCTTCTCCTTGAAGTATGAGCTATCACAGAGTTTTCTGCTGCACGGAAGTAGCCGCTTTCTATTTACTGAGCACGTTTTCATCGTATCTGTGGATGCCAAGTGTTGTGTGGCACTCAGGTACAGTGGTGAGTAAAAATAGACACCTGTTCCTGTAATGCTATCATTTCAAAACTGTGGAAAATATGTTTTAGAAAGTAAATAACTTATCCCATTACTTAAAAACATTAGAGTAAGAATGCTAAGATCTTCCTCCCTTTTCAGCCACCCCCTGCTTCTCCCCAAGGTGCCCACTTGGTTTGAGGCAGCCCCAGACCCTTCTGCTTAGGAAGGTATACCTGTAGACAACTATAAACACAGTGCTTTCCATTTTGAGCGGAGTGGGATTCTACTGTGTATTTACTCTGCAGCTTTTAGAAGATCACTTAATATGCAATAGACCTTTTTTTTTCCTTCTACAGTATATATGGGTGTAATTAATCAGTTCCATAGTAGTTGAGATTTAGGTTTCTTACATTTTACAGTTATAAACAGTGCTCTAGAGACCTCTCTGTACAGGGAACTTTGGCTTGCGTGCAGGTATTTCTGTATATCGTATTTCTGTAGGAGGGGTTGCTGGCGTTCACATGTTAATTTTTTTAATTTTTTTTTTTAATTGATTTTTGAGAGAGTGCAAGTCGGGGAGAGGTAGAGAGAGAGGGGGACAGAGGATCTGAAGCAGGCTCCACGCTGACAGCAGCAAGCCCGATGTGGGACTTGAATCCACAAACCGTGAGATCATGATCTGATCCAAAGTCGGACACTCAACGGACTGAGCCACCCATGCAGCCCCAACTCACATGTTGAATTGTAAATCAAAACTACTGGGATGTCTGTAACATAAAAAGACAGACAGTAATAAGTGGGTGAGGATGTGGACAGTTGGAAGCCTCTCACACTGCTGACAGGAATGTAAAATGATGCAGCCTGTTGGGAAAACCGTCTGGCAGTTTCTCAAACAGTTAAACATAAAGCCACTCTCCTCTGTATCTACCCCCAGAGAATTGAAAACAGGTCCACACAAACAGTTAACACACAATGTCCACAGCAGTGTTTTTTCGCCATAACCAAAAGGTGGAAATCCACATGTCCATCAGCTGATAAATGGATAAGTAAAATGTGGTCTTTCCACACAATGGAATGTTATTGAGCCATAAAAAGGAGTAAAGTTCTGACACCTATTACAACATGGACTTTGAAAATACTACTGAGTGATAAGAGCCAGGCACAAAGGACCACATATTGTATGATTCTTTATACTTGAAATGTCCTGAATGAGCAAATCTGTAGAGATAGAAAGTAGATTAATGGTGGCCTAGGGCCAGCAGCAGCGGGTGGGAAGGGATGATGAGAGATGGGAGTATTGGAAAGAGGGTAGTATTTAAGGGGTACAGGATCTCTTTTCAGGGTGAGAGAAATGTTCTGAAATTGATTGTGGTGATGGCTGCATGCCTCTGAATTATACATTGTAAGTGGGTGAATTGCATGGTACGTGAATTATATCTTTTTTTTTTTTATTTTTTTATTTATTTATTTTTTTAAATTTTTTTTTTCAACGTTTATTTATTTTTGGGACAGAGAGAGACAGAGCATGAACGGGGGAGGGGCAGAGAGAGAGGGAGACACAGAATCGGAAACAGGCTCCAGGCTCTGAGCCATCAGCCCAGAGCCCGACGCGGGGCTCGAACTCACGGACCGCGAGATCGTGACCTGGCTGAAGTCGGACGCTCAACCGACTGCGCCACCCAGGCGCCCCTACGTGAATTATATCTTAATAAAGTTGTTGAAAAAGTTCAGGAGAAATAGAAGTCCTAACAAATTCCCACTGAAGGGTGGTCTCTTGCTTCCCCACCAGTAGTATGTGAAGGGGCCCATTTTCTCATGTCTTCACCAGCTCAGGAACTTACTCGTGTTAAGTTTCCACCAATGTGGTGACAGAAATGTGGTATCTCGTTTGGGTTTGTACTTATTAGTGAAGTTGAACATTTAAGGATACATTTATTGGCCAATCTGTATTTTTTTTATGAGTTTTCTCTATTTTGGGGCCCACTTTATTGGATAGTTTGTGTTTTACTTACTCATTGGTAGAAACTTGAACATAATACAATGTTAATAGACTGTTTTTCTTTGAAAAAGAATTTGGGGATAGTACACTTACATGAGACAGGAGTACAGGGAGCCTGCCTGCCCCTTTGCTGCAACCTGCTTCTCAGCTTGATTTTTTTTTTTTTAACTGTCTATTGGGGAGATTGTTCTATATTAGTGTATGTTAAGCTCTCTTCTCTCTCTCTTTTCATGGCGGCACAGCACTCCCTTGTAGGAATGGATCAGAGATTTGACAGTGGTCTGTGGATGAAATTAGGTCGTTGCCAGCCATTTGCTGTCACACACAGTGCCGTGGAGACTTTCTGCACATACATCTCTGCACACGTGTGTGACCACATCTGTCTGGTTGAGTAATGAAGGTAGAATTTTGCGTGGAGTGTAAGTACAGTCTTAACATAGGTGTTGCTCACTTGCCATCTGAAGAACAAACTGTACAAGCTTCCATTCTCTCCACAGTAGCAAGAATTATGAACCTTAAATTTTGATTACTTATTTTTGAGAGAGACAGGATGCAAGTGGGGGTGGAGCAGAGAGAGAGAGAGAGACACACAGAATCTGAAGCAGGCTCCAGGCTCTGCACTGACAGCACGGAGCCAGACACACAGGGCTTGAACCCATGAACCGTGAGATCATGACCTGAGCTGAAGTCGGATGCTTAGCCAACT